GCATCGAAGGGGGCAGCTACACGATTAGGATCACCGACTAAGCCGGTGGTCTGAAATCGACAAACTTTGTAGACGAGAATGGATGCGTGAAATCGGCAGGTTGTTGCCGAAGCATGGGTTGGTTGGTCTACCAGGCTATCATTAAGTGCGCAAAATCAATGGGCTTCATTGACACAAAATCGAGCGTGGTCGTTGACAGTTGCATTAAATCAACAAAAGGGGCATCGACAAGGTCTAGTACCTCAAAAAATTGAAGGGTTAAACATCGACATGATACCAGTTGGTTGCGACGGCGATCGACGAGCTCATCAACGATAGGCTGACGGCGATGGCGATCAGTGAAACTTGTATTCGTCCAGCCCCGTCCTTGTGTTCAGTTATCCAACAGGCGTGGGCGAAATTGACGAGCCTGGTCGTCGATTAAACGGGTGTAACGAAAGCGATGGGCTTCGGACAAAATCAACGATTTTGCATCAAATCGAGTAATGGTGTGTGGGAATCGACGGGACAAGTTGCATAAATCAATGGGACGAGTTGCATGAAGTCGCGGTATGAAATCGATATGAAGCTGCGGTATGAAATCGATATAAAGTCGCGGTGAAATCGATATGAAGTCTTGGTATAAAATCGAGCTACCAAGTTAGATGTGTGGTAGGTGTGTGGCTATCTCAATGTGTCGATAAATAAATATTCTATTTATTTGTAGTTAGGATTGTTCTATATGAATATCTCAAGGGGAGAGGTAGTGGGAAGGAGTTGTTCTTCGATGTTCAATTTAACGAGAGAATAGAGGTGAAGGTTGAAGCTCGAAAGTTTATTGCTTTGAGCGTTCCGTCGACACTTCAGGTCATTGATAAGGTGGTAGCAAAAAGCAAAGGCCTCATCATCGATGGTAACCCGAGCGAGTTGTTCGGTAGATTCTGGACTCGGAGCTGGTCAAGTCGAGTTAAGGTATTGGGTGCGACCTCTTATCGGATACCCAACCCAGAAATGACAAACCTCACTCGTGAATGATGGATGCCCCTCACGGGAGTCGAATGTTGCGAGATGTAATTATATTATGAGAGAGTGCGAGCTAGGTCGAGAATATTAGATGGCTTATCGATAGACTTGCCCCTTACTACTAGAGTGCAACTAGCAAGGAAATAAACAATTCCCTCCAACTGTTAGGCAAGAGGCAGCAACACAAGAATGAACTGGGTCTGCATATCACCAAATTGTAAATCCTAGAAGTTGAATGAAATTGACCGGCCGCGTGGGAAAAACTGGGTGTATGAAATCAACTGGCGGCATCGTGAAGAAGTTTCCATAGAACTCTTGTCAATGGCTTAATCAATTACTTCCAGTTTGCACGATGTAGCCCAAAATCGATGAGTCATTGCGGAGATCTACGGGTGGAGTCGTGAATCCAAACAGGTTCCGCGGCGGGCTCTTCGACAAGAATGGTCGAATGTAATCAACAAGCCCTATCGTGGACAGTTTGCAAAAAATCGACGGGGGCCGGCAAAAAAAAAAAAAAACTGCATGAACTCGACTGTGTGGAATCGATGGGTTTCATGATGTTGAAATCGAAAAAAGGCTGCATGAAATTGACGAGGATGGTAGTTTGAAATCGAAGGGCTTTGTCGACAAGGCTTGGGGCACAAAATCGACGGCTGCCGCTGGAGATCGACAAGCCTTGTGGATAAAAACGATTGTTTGAAATCGATAGGATTGAGGTTATTGACACGGTCTAAAATCGACGGGCTATGTCGATGTGGTTGAAATTGGCAATCTTTTAAGAAATCCACAACCCACTCTAAAAAAAAGGAGACCCTTGACAAGTAATCGATGGCGTTGGCAAGGAGGGAGGGAGACTGGCTCATCAACGGGTTTGACATGTCAATGTATACATATGTGGTCGATGTATACATATCAAGTAGTGTGTTTATTGTACATGCGACAGAACATATTCATACATCTTCTTAATAATACGTGAATGTCAAGATTTACTGATAGCTCAATATTAAAATTTGGTAGGGAGTTATATGGAGCTCTAAAAAAAAAAACGTGTGAGTTGATACGACCTTGATTGAATATACCTAACTAGGAAGCCAGTTGTAAAAGCAACTTGGTAACGGCTACGCGTATAAGTGTGTCAGGTGGGTAGCGGTCGAGAAAAACACTACGTTATATATAACACTAGATTGGTATGATTTTATATGGGGAGATGTTTAATCCTTTGAAAAAGATATAAACTCCGTAGACATAAAAAATATGTGACAGTTTTTATGGCGTGTGAAGGTTACGCACCATATAATGGAGTGCACAAATCTTATAGCAAATCTCGTGTTTGCGTGATGCAGTCCCCTAGGTGAAATAAGTATACTATACAATAAAGTTTTGGGACTCAAGGTTGGTAAAAGATTTTTGCCAAAAAATCTTATTGAGCATGCCATACGACATGTAATTTATTGCGAGAAGTTATCATTATTTTGTCGGAGATGCAGATATATGTGTGTGTGTGTGTGTATGCGTGTGAAAAAAAAGAAAAAAAGATCTGGAGCCAAATATATAATACCATCTGTGTCGGCCAAATAAATTTTTGAAGATTGTGTAGCAGGCCAACTCATGGCAGTGTGTAGAGTTGGACCTATTGTCTAAATGAATGTAGGCTAAAATAGTGAAACGAAAAAAACGTTTGACATGGATATGAAAGGCAAATTGACCCCACTCCTGTGAATTATTGCATCTCGCATATCTTTCGAAGATAAATTCGGAGACTATCGAGAAAGTAGACTTGATAAATAGGTAGAGGGAAACTATCGAGAAAAGAGATAATGCTTCTTTGATGGGATCATTAAATATATATATATATATCTTAGGCATAAAGCAACAGATCTTTTGCCAAATTGTATGCTAAAGGTCACTTTTACTATCATTATCACAATGCTTCATTTATGGAAATAAAAGGACCAGATGCGAGGTAAATACAAATGTCATGTATATATATATCTACATATGTATAACACTGTATAAGCTTGTAATAAGGTGTATGTAGTCTTTATAACAGTGGGTGATATTGCTTGCAGTTGTATAATCAACAATAGGGAGATGTCATAGAACATGAATTCTCTTAAATTTTCATGGAGCGCTGGTCAAAATAATCTAGGATACTTTAACCAGTCTTTGAATTAACCTGATCGTAGGTCATAAAAAGAAGAAGGTATATATATATATTTGTGTATATATTATATATATGCGCAAGATATGAAGAACAGAAGATCATCGCAAGTGATTAACAAGCAGGTGTAATAATTAAAGCAGCTGACAGTACGAAAATGTAAAGAAATGAAGAGGATTAAAGTATAGAACGAGCTCAGCAAAATAAGGTAGTAAACCTCAAGCTTTGGAGGTGTATTGTAGAAGGATGGTCGCCTGAGTCCATCGACTTTGTGTTGATATCCCCAGTGGAGTCTCCAAATTGTGGGGGTTCATTTTCGTAACATAATAAAATACATATAAATGGTGATATCACACATAAATTTGAGTGATCCAAACAACATAATAGAATCCGAGGTGGACTGAGAGAGGTGGAAACACAGGTAAACTGAAGAGAGAGGGTGAAGATGGTAGTGTATTAGTACACCATTGACTCCCTCGGTGAAGATGTATGGAGAAAAACCATGAAAGGTTATTTCTTCCTCCTTTTTTGCTCTGCCTTCCACTTGGCCTTGGATCACCTCTTTATATAGGCCAAGTGAGAGGTTGGGTGATGTCATATGACATCACATGTGAGGCCCATTAACATTATAAAATAATGTTAATTAAGATAGGTGTAAAATGTATGGGAGTCAAAATGGTATCTCTCTCTCTATAAGTTAGGTCGAGGGTCGACTCGACGAGCCCTGAACTTCATCCACCAAACCAAGAACCTCCTCGGATCCCAAGTAATCCTGAGTCCTGCTCCTAACTCAGGTCTTCAAGTCTTCGATTTTATATTCGAGGTATACTGACGTGGTAAGTGTTACGTAACTTAAACCGTTTGACCATTTAACTTGTGGGCCATTGTTTCTGATGTGGCATCGCTTGTTGACCATTTGACCAAAATTTGTGGGTCATTTTTGATGACGTGGCATAGTCTATTGACCGTTTGACCAAGAAATGTGGGCCATATGAAGTGAGATGTATTCAACACCTACAACCTTTAATGGAGCTCACTGTTGGTTCGTCTCTGAAGCTCACTGGTTTTGTGTCTTCAATGGAGCTCCTCAGTTTTGGGTCTTTAATGGAGTTGCTCCTGTTTTGTCTCTGACAGTGACATTCTGGCCTCGTCGGTGACTAGAATTTTGCTGGCCCGTGGTTCAGTTTGAGATGGAAACGTAGTGGTGGTAGGAGGTTGAGTGGTGGTGGTGATTTGAAGGTAAGGTGGGCGGTGGTAATTTTTGGGGGTGGTTTGGTGGAAGTAGTGGTGGGAGGAGGGGCCGTGGTTGGGGCAGTAAGAGGAGGAAGAGAAGGAATGGATAGAGGAGGGAGAAAATAGGATTGGTGGAAGAGAAAAAAAAAGGTGTCATAATTAATAATATAATAATAAGGTAATTGAGTAAATTCATCTAAAAATCTGCAAATATGTCAAAAGGGAGATCTTTGCAAAAAAAAAAAAAAAAAAAGATCTTTGCAATTAGATCAAACCTCAAGAAAGATCATATAATTTGCCCTTAAAAAATAGATTTCCACGCAGTAACATTCTTTTGGAGGGAGAGGGCAACACAAAAGATTTTTACAATAAGCTTTAAAATCTTGCATGGGCACCTCAGAACTAAACAGAAGCCCAGTCAATATTTATTGTTCCAGTAATGCCCCAAACTATTTTGGGCATTTGGGCCAAGGCCCAACAAGAAGTTCAGTGGGCCTGATACAATTGAAACCATAAGAGCGGCATAAACGAGTCCACTTTATTCCAACCTTGCCCTTCTTTTTAGCCTCTTTTTCCGAGCCCTCATCTCCATTCATAGTTTTTCCTCTTTATTCGATTTCTTGCTTTTGGACCCGTCGCCTCAGAATCCCTCTCTCTCTCTCTCTCTCTCTCTCTCTCTCTCTCTCTAAAATATCTGTTAGCTACGATCAGATCGATCTATAGACAACCAACAGAGCCAAAGTTGTACAGTCACCCATGACGCTTGGCTCAGGAGGATCGAGTGTCGTGGGTGAGTCTTCGAGCAACAAGTTGGTTTTCTTCAATTTTGTTCTTTGATCCTATGTTTTATATTATTTCTTTACAAATTCTGCTAATGGGTTTGTCAGATTCATTATTTTTCTTTCTGCTCTGCATAGAATTGTTGTTTTTATGTGTGATCGATGTAATTGACTTACGGATGGTAAGTGTTTTATGGGCATTTTTACAATTATTTCATTGTCTGATGGGATTAGATGGGTTCTTTCTAAAGAATTATGATATATTTATCGTGGATTCTTGTTTAATTATCAATTATAGGGCAATCTGTTTCCGGGTCAATCGTTTGTCGCTGTTCTTGTTTTCAGTTGCTTCTTTATTTTTATTTTATCTTATTTTGGGTATCATAAAACTTTAGGGTCTGCTTGGTTCAAAAAAGTTTTATTGGAACAATTTTTGGTTCTATGAGAACTGAAAGTCCGAAAAGTGTACACAAATCTGTTTGGTTGACATTTTATTGGAATTGTTTTCTGAAAACACTGATAAAAAATGGTCTGTAAAGGTCTGTTTTCAGAGAACTATAGTTGAAACAAAATTTTGTTTTCAGAGAAGTATAAAAGACAGTTTCTCTGAAAACAAAATTATGTTTTCGGAGTTATTGAGAATCATTTTCCGAGTGACAAACCAAGCAGACTTTTAATTTTTTTGAGATACCCTGTACTTGTCTCAATTTTATTGTTCGTGGCAATTATCTTTAACTTGGTGTAGAGTAAGGGTTAGGCATGTATAAATTGGTTAGCTTGAAATGAACGATTCATGATTTCAGCTCTTAAAGCCTAACACATGTTGTTTGTACTGTCTTGCACAACCTTGCTAGTGTGAGTTAACTCTATTGTTGTTTGTATTGCTATGCTGCAATCTTGCTAGTGTGAGTTACTCCATGTCTATTGTCTGCCACTTTTTCTTCTTGTCCAATCTTTGGGTACACTTTTTTTTAGGTTGTACTGCATATATTTTCTGCTGAAACTTGCCATCCTTCACAAGAGGTATTGAACTTGGGGTTTGGGAGGCTTTTGTTTTGTTTTTTTGTTTTGTTTTTTGTTATTTTGTTATTTTTATTTTACGTTTATTTTTATTTTTATTTTTATTTTTTTATATATGCCTAGTTACTGCGTGATTTGGGAAGATTATCAAGATCCTATTGAGTGAATTTGCTTATCCAAGAATTTATCATATTAAATTTAGACCGCTTGGTTTTATAGGCACTTAGATTTAGAGATGAAAGATAAATGGATTTGTAATAAGGGCTCCAAGGAAATAGGGGTGTGGCTGATAACAGCTTTATCACTGGTTCAGTGCTGTTTCTTATAACACTTAAAAATGCAATATATTGATTTCCCGTGTACTTAAAACCTTTATTATTAGATGGAGGATTATTTTAGAATGAGTGGTTTATGGTGCAACATCGATTGTTTTAGAATGAGTGGTTTATGATGCAACATCTTGTGTTTGTTGGTGTCGTTGAGTTGCCCAACTTGCCCTTATGCTTGTTAAAATTATTGTCTGAATTGGCGTATGTCTTATGCTTGTTATTACATTTGTACTTTTTTCAGTTTTTATTTTTCAAAATTAAGTTTCTGTTCTATGTCATTTTGTATATCCTGTGCTAATGTGCATGGATACGGAGATGGTGTAATTCTCAGTGCCGAAAAACTACCGAGTATACATCTGAAGTCCATCAAACAGTCAAAAGCTTAAAACAACAAAATGCTGGAAAGCTTTTATTGAGATTAAACGTGTGTGTGATCCCTGAAGATAGGTTCTTAAGGTGGAATTAGGCTTGCGTAAAGAATTCCAACTTTGAGGTAAACGAATAAAGGTAAGTATCAGATGGTAACTGCAGTGGGATGTAGTACAGGTGCATTATTTGGCAAAAAGCCTCAAATCTGACTATTAGTGGGCATTGGAGTGCCTTTTTTGCTGCCATGCTAATGTAGGAAGCCGGTGAAGAGGTTCTTGCTGCCCATTTACTGAAGAAAGCATGATGTACTGGATGCGTGGTTCAAAGATGCGGACTTGGGCACAGACACAATGTAATGGACAAAAGATCGATTGGGGTGTATTGTAATTGAATTGGTTGTCGCGGTCAAACTCACACATAATGTCCAAAACACCTTGATACACAAATTTTTACTACAGAATCCAATAAATATGTTATTTTAATGAATTCTATCGATTTTTGTTCATTTTTTTAAAAGATTAATTTAATAAAAGTAATGGCCTATACATGAAATTTGAGTCACTATCTATATTAAAAGCTTAGTAATTTATACTTCTACTTGAATAATGTGTTTTTAATTATGTGTATATTTATATATTTAAATAGAAATTCACTGGCTGGTTGAAAGATTGGAATGGTTTGATCCAAAATTTAAGCTGAGATCGTATTTCTTTTTTGGGGTTTGATACAAAAATTTAGGATTAAATCAATTTAGAGGTGAGAGTTAAAGAAAGAGAGAATGAGAAAAAAAAAAAATGAAAGGATTGAGTCTGCCAGCTTAAAAAGGCTCACTTGGCGGCTACAATGTTGTCTTGGGAGGTTGAGTCCCTCCGAGTCTTGGCTGAGTCGCCATGAGTTGCTCCAAGTCTCAGTGGAGTCCCTTGTGATTTTTGTTCACAATGATTTGACTCTAGCTGAGTCTTTTTTGACTTAGACGAGTTGTCCCTTTGTGGCCGATATTTCGAACCAAAGGCTAAACATAGAACCCTATAATATTCCTGGGCTGGTTAGTGAAAGGAGATGCTGTTGTGTAGTGGTTATCAAATCAAATCAGCAACTGTAAAATTATGAGAGTGAGGAGGTTTAGAAGATGTTACAAAAGGGTTATGAGGATCCAGCAACCAACAAACAATTAATTATAATATAACAAATATAAAATTTTTCTAAAATAAATAACAAATAAACGGAGTGTTCTTTTATTCGAAACGCCTCAGACAACAGTTGTGACAATGCAGTTCAATCAGTTTCCAAACTTATTAGTATTGTAGAGTATCCATTTCAAAATTTCAAATCATAATTTTCCTTTTTTTTCTTCTTCTTAATGGGAGAGTGATCAATGACTGCATTGCAGTTTGGAAGCCTTTGTTATGTTGAAGGCACTTTGTTGGACTTTTTCTATCAAAAGATTGGAAGATTTGGGCTTCTCAAGTCTTTTAGTTTCTTGCAGTCCCTCGAAATTTCAGACTGCTCGAGGAACTTGAACGTGGAGAAAAGGGTATTGGGGATGGCACTGTCAGCTATGGAATGGATGACGGAGATGACATTTACATGCGGTCTTGGACAGGCACCATTATTGGTCCTCATAACGTAAGTGTTCTTTCGTGTCTTTGTAACTCCATTTCATATTTGCTTTGGAACTGTCGCATTTCTAATCAGTGCTTTATTTAATGTGCTAATGTCCTGTATTTTTGTGATTTCCATTTACCATTTTCTTGAAACTAGAAACTTTACATTTTGAATCACTAAATTTTCGTTCTGGTTTTAATCTTTTGTCTTCGAGGCTCTTCCCCCCTCCTCTTCATTTATCATGGCAAAAGTTCAATAAGGGAATCACACTTGCCTGATTACATCAGAGAAATATTTCTTTTTCAAAAATATGATAATTGGCGGAAATTCAATTAATTTGGTGTGGTTGACTGGGTTATGTACGATGTGGAGCCATACTTCTTAAGCTTGTGCCTCTTTTTTTTGTTGCAACTGCATTGCTTTTCAAGAGTGCTTGTGAAGGTTGAAAACTGCCTCTAACATGGAACTTCTTTAGGCAAGTAGTTAGCTGATTTCATAGAATACATTTAACTTAAAATGTTAATCATGCAGGCTCACATGTTTTTTAATTTGGCTTTGCACCTGTTTTGGTCAGTTCTCTATAACATTTTTAAAGAACTTTGTAAACAGAAAGCAATGTTCGGGAACTACAAAAGTTGGTTCTTCAAATTCATGCCTTTTTGCCTTAGTTTTCAGAGAACATTTTTCAAAAAACTGTCATCTAAATGAATGATTGAACTCTTTTCTGTTTTCCTAGTTCATTGAGAACAACATAAAAACCCAAGCAAGCCCTTAGCATCTCTCTGAGTCTTTTTTTGTTTGACTTGGTGCTGTCAATTGGGATTGAGAAGCATTAAGGCTCCGTTTGTTTCGACATAAAATATTTTTCTCGGAAAAGATTTTTCTTTTTCAGGTAAAATGTTTTCTTTATTTTTGCTTTTTCGGTGTGAGGCAAAGGTGTAGGTCGAGATTGAGGTCAAGTCCATCGTGCAGTACATGTAAAATAACTTACTGAAAATTTATGGGTAAGTTATTTTTGTTAGGTTTTGATATATTTTTTATTCGTAAACATTTTACGACAACCAAACACCAGAAAATAAAAAAATATTTTCTGAAATATATTTTACATCCAAACAAACGGAGCCTAAGAGTAATACTTTTTCCAAATCCAAAGGAAAATTTTGTTCATTCTAAGATGTGCTATGAGCCGACAACTGTAGGTTCAACTGAAAGATGTTATATCGAATGTGAATCCGACTATTTACTGGTATTCATATCTTAATAGTGCAATAACATATTTTTTTTTGGCTTCAGTCTGTACATGAAGGACGCATTTATCAGTTGAAGTTATTCTGTGACAAAGATTACCCTGAGAAGCCACCGAGTGTTCGTTTCCATTCGCGGGTTAACATGACTTGCGTGAACCATGAAACCGGAGTGGTACGAATATAATCATTTAAAATTTTAAATTGTTTTCGTGGCACAGTTGTTGCTTAGTTGTATTGTCTATGCTTTCAGACTTTCAAAGGATGAAAAATGATGGGGCCTTCTGTTTCAATTTGTATTGTTGTTGTGCTATATTTTTCTTCTGTTCCCTGGAAAGGGAATCAAGTGACCGAGATTATCAGTCCTGCTGTTCCCAGCGTCATGCCATCACTGTCCTAGCAGTACGATAATGTTATATTCCAGTTCATATTATGTACTTGTTAATAATAATTATAATGGTATTTGAAGTATTGTACTAGTAGTAGTTGTTGCTATCATTGGTATTAATATTATTGCAACTATGTGAGTCATTGGCAAAAAAGTTTTATTGGAACTATTGTTTTTTGTTTCTTCCTGTTGTTTCTATGTTTTGTCTGTATCTGTCTGTCCCAGTAACCTCCATTATTTTAATACTCATGTTGTAAAATTCCGTTGACCTATGACACTTGTTATTATTTGTCCCTGCAGACCAGAATTGGTTCAAATGTTGGTTTTTCATTTCCAATTCAATGCAAGTTGTGTTCCAAAAACAAGAAATTATTTTTATTTATTTAATGGAGCAGCCTTTTTTTCTAATGGGATATAGATGAAATTTTACCCAGTAGGAGAACATAAATATTAAAACTGGGGATAAAGGGATCACAAAATTTTGTTATTCATTATTCATTATCACGACGATGGAGATGATTGGTGGTAGGAAGTCTAGCCCCCCCCTTTTTTTTTTTGTTGTTTTATTGTTATATTATATGAAAAAAATGACAGGTATCATGTCAACCAATTGGTTCAGGTGGAGCCGAAGAAGTTTGGAATTCTAGCAAATTGGCAGCGTGAATACACCATGGAAGATATACTGACACAGCTGAAAAAGGAGATGGCAGCCCCACATAATCGCAAGCTGGTCCAGCCTCCTGAAGGTACCTATTTCTAGTCGATGGATTATATAAGATTGAATGGACCATATTGCATATCTCCATATGCAGTATATAGTTTGTAATTCAGCATTGAACGGTCAATCCTGTTGAAGTTGTACAGGGTAATGCCTCAACAATATTTCTCCTATTTCCTCTTCATGGCCTATCTTTGTTCTGCTGTCTTATTTTGTTGAACTGTGTTGCTGGGATGCTGTTTGATTAATGGAATTTCTTGTGTGTCAAATATTGAATATAAACATTTTACATAATGTTTTTTGGTCCTTGTTTCTCTTCTTTGGCTAGTTTCTTACTTCCCAAGTTGAAAGAAGTTGGGGCCATTGTGATCTATGAATAAAAATGCATTAGAGCGATGGGGAGAGAGATAAGATGATTGAGGTTGACACATTGCTGTGTGGTTCTTGTGTTTTTTAAATGGTTGTGATGGCAACTTAACAAGGTTATTAATCAATGTAATTTTCAGGTGATTGAAAATGTCAGAAAGTGGTGTATTTGGTGTGTTTAACCTTTTTAACCTGACATTATTTACACAGCCTCCAAACTGTCTTTCAGTTGGAGATTGCCATATGCTTTAGAGCAAGTTATGGCGTTGTACTATTTTTGTAAAAGATGTACGACCCACAGGGGTGGATGGGAAAAAAGAAGAAGAGAGGGGGATTAGGCATGAACATGAAGAAACTAAGAAAACAATAGGAATAAAAGGGAAGCAGAACAATGGGGTTGCAAAAAGAGTGATCATATTTACATGAAACTGTTTTGATAGCTTAACCCGATGGTGGTTTTGATTTGTTATCGGAATATAAAACAGGAGCAAGATGGATGTTGTACACCAGTTACCATGGATATGAGAATATGAATTTTTTACCCTAAACAAGCTTCAGACATTGAACCATTTTTTCAAGTTGAAATAATGTTTGTCAGTTTGAATGTTTTATTGTGTTTATAGGTGCATTGCAGTAAGTTAAAAGTTCAATTGTTTCACCTCGTCTTAACAATCAATCCTATTTTTATTTAAGTTACCTGAATTTGTGATATTTTTCTATAAGGTCGGATGTGTGTGCGTGTAGAATCAGCAACAGCTCATACTGGATTTATATGGATATGAATGCATGGTGTTGTTGAAAGGGGGTTATGAATCCACTGAATATGAATATGATATATATGGTAGTGGTGGACCAGCAAGTTGCGTCAGATGTTGGTTGGTTCTGAAACATAAAATCAGCAACAGCTCAAGCTCGTGCATATTTATCTGATATTGAGTGATGTTGCATTGCATCTATCTATTCTGATTCCTCACGTCTTCGCCACTACCCACCAAAAACTTAAAATGCAGCCCATTCATTCATCAATTCAAATTATATAAGCTTTTAGCTTATAGCTTATAGCTTAGCACACGGTTTCCACGTTGGATGCCAGTCAATGTGCTGCTACAAAAATGAGTGTGCGCTAATTTGTGTTAGGGGGTCAGAAAAAGAAGAATGAAATACGGTGACCCATAATCCTAACTCAAAAAATTAGATTAATTTTGTCTTATCCAATTCATCTAAGAAATTTTAATACTTAAAGTAGATAAGATCAATTTTGTCTTATCCAATCCATTTAAGGATTAGAAATTCTTCAAAACAAAACCTTTACTATATAAATTATGAAAATGACTCACAAGCCAAAATAAGTACAAAAACTTGCTAAAAAAAAAAACCCTTTCATAAATTATATATATATCGCAAAAAACTTATCTCATATATATATATATATATTGCCAAAAAAATAAAATAAAATAAAAAATTAATTAAAATTAAGACTGAGACACCAAAGCATTAAGTTAAATACAGGGGTATTTCCGTCCTTAAACCAGAAACCGTGGGCAACTCAAATCTCCCAGCCCAGTCTCCACCTCTTGCAGGATTGCCGCCGCTTATAAGTTAAAACCCGACCGCCTGCAATACTTTCCCCATGTCTTCCTCTCTAAGATATATATATATATATTTAACGAAACCCTAATTCTTTTATTCTTTTTCATTCGGCAAAGGCGATCTCTCACATCTCTCCATCTTCTATCTCTCTCTCCAGATCTGGTTTCATGTTTACAGAGGACTCAACACCATCGATCGCGAGGTCGATCGAAGTACGCTCAGTTTGGTCGAACAATCTCGATTTCGAGTTTGGATTGATCCGAAAGATGATCGATCGGTACCCCTTCGTCTCCATGGACACCGAGTTCCCCGGTGTCGTCGTCCGTCCCTCCTCCAGAATCGAATACTTCCGGCACCGGAACCCTACCGCCCATTACTTCATACTCAAAGCGAACGTTGATCTGTTGAATCTAATTCAGGTCGGTCTCACTCTGACCGACGCAGATGGTAATCTCCCCGATCTCGGGACTGACAATCGTTATATTTGGGAATTCAACTTCAGAGACTTCGATGTCTCTAGTGACTTTCACGATTCCGACTCGATCGAGTTACTGAGGCAACAGGGGATCGATTTCGACAAGAACCGAGAGTTAGGGATCGATGCAGTGAAATTTGCCGAATTGATGATGTCGTCGGGGCTCGTGTGCAATGAATCGGTGACTTGGGTGACGTTTCACAGTGCGTACGATTTCGGGTATCTCGTGAAGGCACTGACTGGGAGGTCTTTGCCGGATGAGTTACCGGAGTTTCTGAGCCTGCTCAATGTGTTCTTTGGGTCAAGGTTTTATGATGTGAAACATCTAATGAGGTATTGTGAGAGCCTCTTTGGTGGGCTGGACAAGATTGCTAGGACTCTTGATGTAGACCGGGCGGTTGGGAAGTGCCATCAGGCCGGTTCAGATAGCTTATTGACATGGCTTGCGTTTAAGAAAATAATAGAGGTTTACTTCTACAAAGATGTCCCTGAGAAGTACGCCGGCGTCTTGTATGGTTTAGAGGTTCTTTTGAATTTCCATGACATGTAGTTTTTTATTCCAGTAAAATTGTACAATCTTTTAACTTAATATCAATATTAGTTCATATTCTATTTAATTGAATTTCTTAGTTATGCTCTCTTCTGAATTAAGACCCAATTATTGCTGCTCAAATCATATTTGTGATTGCAAAACTGGCCTTGGGTTCATTACTTGGTATTTGATTTTTGAAGGTTGCCTTAAAATACCAAGTAATGCCAACTATTGGGTGTGTTAGAGAATAGGGATGATACTGTAGGAAAATTTTATGTTACACAATGCCAACTATAATTTCTGTTAAAAAAAATTATGTAGTTATGAGATGGAGATGTTAAGATAGAGGAGTGGCTAAAAACAACATTCATAGAGGACTACAAATGAATAAAGAGATTGGTTCGAGTTCATTTATTAAGCAAATGAGCCAAGGTAGTGCCTTTTAACAATGGAGAGTGAGAAAAATCAATGGATTGACTCATTATGTGCTTGTGATCATGTTCATAAATCTTTATATTCAGTTTTCTTCTTTAATGATTTTTTCTCAAGGTCGAACAAACTCTTTGCGCACAAAATCGACTAAATTAGTCGTTGTTTGGACTCAGTTGTTTTAGTTACTACTTTGCGCTTTAGTGAATCTATGAATATGGACACGGATATAGGATACATATATTTCATTATATGAACACAGTATAGTGATCTGCTGTTTTAGTTATGACAAATTCTTAGGAACATGATGTGGATATGGAGAGGATACGACGAGATATATCTAATAATACATAAGGATAAAATAATAATTGTTCTTCATGCTAAAAATATTATGAGCAAGATTAGCACTTCCTTACAAAGTGTGTTATGGCACTTCCTTACAAAGTGTGTTACCTGAACGTATTAGACCTGTCATATATATATATATATACTGTGCACTTTTTGGAATGGTTAGATCCTTTTATTCATCTATATGTTAGCCAAAACAAAAGTGTTTTCATAACATATTAATACAGAATCTCTGAAGCCTGGCTTTGCTATTTAATAAGTCAGCATTGTTATCAATCAAAATCTGGTGCTTGACATTTCAAATCCTTGAAAATTCATAAATTTCCAAAAGTTGGATGAAAGAAAGTAAATCAATGGTTTCAGATGAAAGAAAACAAATCAATGGTCTTGTGATGTATGAGATATTGGATTATTTTAATTACTTTGCCTATGTTTTGGCATTGTGTAAATAATATATATATATATATATATATATATATAAAATACAAAATATTTTCCTTTTCTTCTTAGAATTAATGGAAAATTTAAGACCTATGTTTTTTTCTTCTTTTATTGAATGTGCTTATTCTTTGTTTGTGTTCAATATTCTTCTTCGAAGGGTTCGAATGTTTGTGGGAGTTCACTAAAGTAGAGGTATTTTCTTCTTCTTCTTCTTCTTCTTCTTGTGAACAAGGCAAAATAGGATTGTTTCTGGGCTTTTATATGAAACGATATTATATCAGGAAGAAAATGAATATATATATTCTGGAATTTTAGAAATTAAAACATAGTTCCTACAGTTAAATTGCCTTTTCAGGTTAGCAGCAGGTGGATTGCTTCATTAGATGGATGGTTAAATTTTGCATCCACAATACAAGTTTGGTCTTGGAACAGGTTTGGCACTTAACTTTATTATATCAGTATCTTTATTATTATTATTATTTTTCCTCCCTAATATTATTGTACTTTTGTTTTTATGGAGCAGATCAACAAGAATAGTTTGTTAACAAGATAGAATTCACTCCGAGGGAGAAGGGGATACTTGCAGGGTGAACACTTTGCTTATGGGTGAAACGTGAAGTGACCATGCGTTCTCCATACTATGGCTATGTGCCCTTTCAGGTATGACTAATTCCCTGCACACATATGTCAAGCCTTGAGCCATGCAACGGTAGGTCAGGGAAACCCCATGAGACTTGTCCCAATGGGAGGGGAGTCAAATATAAAATGTCTGCTTTCAAAAAGTGTATCTCTTTGTCCAATTGTTCTACCTCTTGGGGGATGTTGCCAAGTGCCAAACCCCATTGTTCTCTCGCATTATAAAACATATGGTAGGTTGTAGCCAACCTCATTGTTCATGGATCACATTTCCTTTATGTAAATTGTATGGTGGGCAATAAATAATTGATCAAATTTTGCTGAAGCTCTGCTAAACTAATGACAGATGTTTACTTCGGAAGATGGGTTTAATCCATAACGCCAGTTCACCAACTGTGCTTGGCTGGGGCTAACTACAATAGGGTTTGGTCAGGAGGGCCTGTGAGGGAAAGGGACTTTGGAGGCCAGGGGGTAAAGCTGGGTCCAATCCCTGAAGGGATGCTTGGACTGATTGGTCAAAACAGTGATTGGAGTGGAGTGGATAAGGACTATAAAGAAAAAAGGGAAGGTGGGTTTTGCAGAACCAGTCCTGCAGTGGGTCATGCTGAGGAGGGAGGTGTGCCTTAAAAAGCAACTATATTGAATGGGCTGAACTTGGGGAGTCAAGTGAAACCAAAAAGGGACTATAACAAAGGCAGCGCCAATAGACGGGATTATGTGGAGAAGCAGTTTAAATCATGACATTCTAGGTGTTGCTCACAGAGTTTGAAAGATGTACATTGTGGAAGCAGAGGAAGCTAGTATGCTGAGGTACATTACAGAACCTAGAGCTGCATAGATTTTTTTGACCAAAATATTTGATGTGTTAATAGCTAGAATAGAAACTAATTTAATTTTTTTTAATTTGGAATACATCAGAATATAGAAAAATATTATTAAGTAGGTGTTTAGTTAGATTTGGAGTTTAACGAGAACCAATCTACCTACAGAAGTCTAATCCAGTAATATTTACTAGATAAACTAAAATTGAAGTTGAACTGGAAAAACTCAAATTGGTTCTACAATAGTGGAATTGTTGTTTAATAATGGTACTATTTTTGCTTTGGTCTGATGGTAAGCATTTAGCCTGTCAAACATGAGAAAATGATTCTATTGTAAAGGTAATATCTTATTTTGGATAAGAACAATGTTATAAAGTCGAGTCGGATTCTATATTATTTTTCTTTAGACAATGTATAGACTAGTTTCCATCCTGCCCATCTTTCTCATCATTCTATGGAATGATGGTTATATCATCTTCTTTTTCTTTAGCTTATTTTTCAGGTGCAATGTAAGAGTCTTTACTCTTGTAGAAAAGCAATTTCTATTTGTTTACACTTTTAGTTGAATATGGATTTACCCCCACTATCTTTTTGTGTGAAAATATTCTATTATATCTTTTTTTTTTTTGGGTCGTGGTCCCGTGGATGGTATGGTAGAAGGCTCTTACAGTATGCCATAGTCCAGCACCTCGCACATGCAGTCTACACATACACATGCACCATGTGATCATCTGGAAAAATTATATCGCGTTTCTCTCACAACTACTAGTCTTTGTATGGTAGCATGTAAATTTGTTAAAACATAATTTGATTAACCTTTACTGTTTGTGATGGCTGGATATATTCTCACTTCTATGTTGATCGGTGTGTCTGCCTGGGGTTATTGAGACTTTGCTTTTTATTCCAGTTTACCCTTTTTTTCCTCCTTCAGAGGTTTTTCTGTCCTTTTTTAAGCTAGGGCTGTTTGTTTCCTCTTTATTTATTTTTGTTTGGAGGAGTCTCTGTTTAGTTGTAGTGGTGGGGTTGCTTGTGTTGTTATTCTTCGGGGGATACTATCTCATGTTTTGTTGTAACTTTGAAAAGTTTTAGTTTCAATGAAATCAATCTTACTTACCAAAAAAAAAATGGTTGCTGACATATATGATATTATTTTTTCATTTGTCCATTTTATGCTCAGCACTCCTAACCGGGCGTTTGATTTGGCCGATCAAGCAAGTCAGCTGGGAATAAATTACATCTATTATTATTTACTGCTTTTCTGGAGTTGTATGAATTGTCAGGTCAATGAGAGCTTGAGGCTGCTTCCTGTAAGTTGCAAGTGATAACTGTGATATGGTGGCATCCGTTGCATAAAGTAGCAGCAACGATATCAATTTATTGAAAAAGATCGAAGAGTAAGTGCCACATGTCTCTCTGTATGTAACATGGTGTAAGATTTTCTTTTTTGCTTTCTCAATATTACTATCACCTTATTTATTTGCAGTGACAGTTTTGAGAATAATAATAAACAATGACAATTTTATTGATATAATAATAAATAAATAAACTAGGATGTCATGGAGTCTAATTTACTGGCATAGCACTAAAATCACCACTTTTCTTCTTTTTACCCTATGTATATATATATATATTCTGTGAATAGGATATGGTGTCCCCCTGTATTGGTTAGTTGAACATAACCCCAAATCTCGGTGTGCCATCCTTGGTTTTTCAATTGCCTAGAATTTCATTTCAGCAACTCTAAGAAATGAACTTCAAAAATTGAAAATCGGTACAAACACACACACACAGAGCACCAGCGGACCCATAATTGTCAACTGTTACATGGTCCCTTCATTTAAGTATAATGTAGACTAGAGTGGTATTGGTCCAAAAACCACATGCTGTGTGCCTAGGATCATGTTCATCTACCGGCATTGTGGGTCCACAGTAGGATGGTGACACCATGGTCAGCCTGATCCATGAATTGTAACCCTAGGATTGACTTAAATATGAAGCCATGTCTGGTTATTTGAAGATAAATTTGTACCCAGAGATGTGATATTGGAGTTATAGAACATACCAAACATCCCATTAAATATAAGAATACAAAGTGAGGCATTGCCGCATTGGCAATTTGGCATACTCACTATTTGACTTCCTGAGTTCTTTTTCTTGCCTAGTCAGGTATTTGAAATCAGACCAATCCATGAGACTGAAGCACAATAAATATTAAATACGAGTCTATGATCTCTTTCTATCTCTACACACACACAGTCTTTATCTTTTACTTGGAATGCATATGTATGCACGTGAGCAGAAAGTTCCATCTTTAATGCTGTCACATGATTGTCAATTTCATTTGCTTTCTTTTTTGTTTTCGTTTTCTTTTTGTTTTTTTCATTTGCCATCTTCCCCTTCCCTTTAGTTAGTCGATCTAGTTAATGTAAACCAATCCATTGTCAGGAGCAATTACTCTTTCAGGCGACCTAGAGACCTGTCTAGCTAGTTATAATTCAAATTACTGTAGTTTGATTAATAGACAGTGACTGCTGATAAAGAAATAATAATTTGTACAAGACTTTTTGCAAAATATTAATACTATGTACTGCTTTGTAGGAATTTCCCATAGGGAAGTTGTCACACACACGCATACATCATTATCATCATTGCCTTTATCTTACATGGATGGAGTCGGTCTTATGAATTCTCTTTTTCCATTCTTTTCTATTACATATCATGTATCTTAGATTTAATTTTTAAAATCATTTTTAATTACTTCCTCCATTGTAAATTTTGGCCAGCCTCTCTGTCATTTACCTTCTAGGCATACTACACTTCTTCTTCTAACCGGTGTATTATCGTGCCTGCAATGAACATGATCGTACCACCTAAGTCTACTTTCTCTAGTTTTATTCATAGGTGCTATACCTAATGTTTCCCTCACACATTTATTATAAATCTCTTCTTGTCTAGTTAGTCCTATCATCCAACGTAGCATTCTCATTTCACCCTAAAATCTTTAAACCCTAAAACCAAAAAAATAAAAAATAAAAAATAAAAAAAAAGGGAAGGAACCCAAGTTTTATTTTATTTTACTATATTTTTAGGCAATGCATAGAAATTATAAATGAACATACATGGAGCCAAAATTCAAAGGTAAATTGAGTTCAAATTTGTTCCATGAGGATGTATCACTGTATCAGCCTGTGAACGTTGGAAACACTTTAAAAGGAAACTCAATACTTTTGAAAAATGTAACAGTCTAGTCAGTAAACATTCAATGGGCTCAACTGATATTCTGAATAGCATTTACTTCCCCGCCCATTTTTCTTGATGCTTATTTCCCCAGCATATCATAACTAATTTCTTATTTACTCTTATATTTGTCGTTCCTCAGTTATTCATGCTTGGTTATTTGATAATATACAAATTGATTTTATAATCTTAGTTTGTACTACGATGTCACATGACGTTTTCCTTTAATATTGTGTTATGATATTGTTTTGGGCAACATATATACTAAAAAGACTATAGATTCATCAAGTTTGAACTAAATTTCCTTTAATTTTAATTTCATGATGTCGTTTTCGGTGCTTCCAGAGAAAACATGAGTTGCATCTGTATACGATATCTAAAACCTTGAAGCATAACAAAAATTGAAGTATCATGAAGAAGCCATTATGATAGAATATTAATAATTTATGAAGTAGTTATGGAAACTATGTTTAATAGTTTGTATGATGATTCTAGTTTACATAAAAACTCTAAGAGTAAGCACGTGCTTTATGCATGATTATATATATGTTTTACATGCTCTGTTATTGTTGATTCTGATTATAGCTTTAGTTTACTGGATTGTTGAAACACTGTTGGTAGGTTTTTTGTCATTGTTCATTGGGGTCCATAGAAGTCACTATTACATTGGTAATGAGAAGTTATTATCAGGGTTAGGACAATTTCCCACTTGCAATGTGGGACTGCTCAATGCCTACGGACGTTTGGCTTGAGAAAATCGGAGAGAATGGATGATAAGAATAAATAAATTATGTTCTAAGGAGCATGAGCATCTTCTGAAATGCTGTGATGATGTCACGTGAGACATGAATGACATGTGCCCGCATATTTAGAAATGTTCTGAAATTTGAATATATTTTTTCGTGGTTGGATCCCGTAAGTAAACCTGTAGGACACAAAATAGTTATTTTTTAATTATTAGTTTTCTTGAAAAAATGAGATTCCTATGCGTTAATTAGAATAATAATATAAAGTTCCAGAAAATAAAAACGACACTCATCTAAGTCTAAGTTCTAAATTAGTGATTTTATTCATGATAATGTAAATAAAATGATAAAAAAAAATTATTTATTTTTGACACATCCATATTGTAGTTGTGTTTTAATTTTTTATAAGATTTGTTTTATTGTTTTTTCTTTTGTTGTTATACCCGTTTTTCATATTTGTGCCTCTTAACTTACGTTTTGTTTGTTTTAAAAAAATGAGAAGGTATAACTTGACTCTGAATAATGGATTTGTCATCATTCCTCGTGGGAAAGAACTTAGGAGGACAAGATAAAAATTTTTGTGGTTACCCTTACAGATTTTTGTTACCTTTATTTCTTAAAAAAGGTGAAATTCCTTTGTTCTCTTTATCCTCTTATGTAATTTTTGTTGTCATAGAGTTGTTAACACTATTACATATATTTTAAATATATTTACATTTACCCAGATGTAATGGGGTGAAAAATAGATTATTAGGTAGTAATTTTTTATTTTGAAGGACTAGCACCATCTTTTCTTTTCTTTGTTCTCTTTAGTTATTCAAACAAGTAAAACTCTTGTCATTTCTTTTCATAAAACCAACCTATACAATAGCAAAGGGTAAGGGATGCATTTAAAAGCCTCACTGTTGTGCACCTGTAAAAGGATCCGATTTGGATCGGATCACCAATAAGGCCATTCCTTGATCCATTTCGATAACTAAATGGATATTTTGTTAATGAATTTATATTTGATTTGTTATTAAACGGATCTATTCAATAATAGTGTTTTTTATTTATTTATTGGTGTATGTGTTTAACAGAAGCTAGTGTCAAAAGAGAATGGTAAACAATGATTAGAATAAAAATGATAGAAAGCCAAAGATAAATAAAAAATGGAAGAAAAAGAAAAAGAAAAAGAAAATTAAATCTTTTACTCTTTGTTAAAGAATAAACATTTTTCGGAGTAAGTAAAAATAGTTAGTGGGAAGAAGAGAGAACGATGATAAGAATATTTTGATAATATATAAATATTATATGTCATAACATTAGATTATAAATGTTTAACGTATTATATAATATATTATGTTGGATCCTGAAAGGCAAACCCCATCTCTCAGACTTCTCAAACACCCCCTCCAGTCAGACCATAGAAGTACAGAGAACAATAAATTCGTGCTCAACCAACCACCCTTAATCGGATTATAATTTATATTCAATTTATTTAATTAACTGATTATTAAATTTTGATCTAATTATTTAACTAATGAATTATTGAATTTGAATAGTAAACGGATAGGTCTACTGATATCTATCCATTTTGTATAAGAAAATACTAATATTCAGGCCCAAATGTGCCCAAGTAGTTGTAAATATCAATTGTGAGGAGGAATGACTTTTTAAAAGAATCTATAGAATTTTGGGAACAATTACAAATAGTAGAAATGTGGGGGGGAAAACGCAAAAAATGCTAAATATTCAAATTTTGTTGAAATCACATTAGGTTGAATTGTTTATTACTGCAACCTGAGAACTTAAAAGAAGGAACTGAATTAAAAAATAAATAAAACTCTTCTTTAACAATAAATACTACTACTATATATATATATTGAATGGCCTCTACTCTACTGAACAGCATTTATTTCTATAGCTTGAAATAAATTGACATATGAGAAAGATATCTCACCAGTCCCCTTATTCTTGATCCTACTTCCATCCCTCACCATTCCTTTCAAAAGCTACTACTCTTCAACCTCTCCGACTCTCCATTAATGCCAAAATAAGAACTCACTCTCGCTATCAAAACACAAAAAACAAAAAATACTACTGCCTAGTAACATCAAACTCTTTTCTCTTTCAAGCCCTCTAGAAATCAAGAAGAATGAAGCTCCCTTTTCCCTTCAAGAACACAGAAACAATTACCTCCTCATGGCCATGGCCATCCTGTGGAAGCCCCAAAACCCTCTCATTTCGAGGGGGCAACGACGAGTTGATGACTGTAAACGAAGTGGCAGCAGCGGAAACAGTAGTAGTAGAAGACAGCGGAGGAGGGGAGTCGATAGAGACGGTGATTCGCGGGTTGTGGTCAGAGAGGCTGTTCTTCGAGCCGGTGGAGACGAGTTCAATACTAGAAGTGGTGAAGAGTACGGATGAGTTTCCATACAAGGAGACTACTGAGATAATGGCCATGGATTCCGATGACCCTTATGTGGACTTCAAGAGGTCAATGGAGGAGATGGTGGAGGCTCACGGGTTGAAGGATTGGGAGTGTCTTGAAGAGCTTTTGAGCTGGTATTTGAGGGTGAATGGGAAGAGCAATCATGACTATATTGTGGTTGCGTTCGTTGATTTGTTGCTCGGTCTTGCTTTTGCTGCTGCTTCTGCTTCTGAGGCTACTCTTACTTATGATGATCGTTCTACTTCTACTTGTACTACTTCTCCTTTCTCTTTTTCTTCTTCTACTAGTCCTTGTTTATCTTCATTAGTAGAAGCAGAGGATGAGATTGAAAAAACAGTTGACAATGCTTCATCATCATCATCATCATCATCTTCTTCAGATGTTTGATTTGATTCATTACTAATAGAATTATGTATATCAGTTTGTAGTTTGAAAAAAAAAAATTATATAGTGAAACTTCCACATTAATTAGCCTCTGTGTGTTTGTGTGTGTGTGTGTTGTTTGAGCATTAAGTGTGGAAAAAATTGCAGGTGTTTGTTCATGTGTTTGAAGAAATTAAATATGTAATTAAGGACATGTGGGAGTTAGTTTACTTGTTTTACCCATTGGGAAAAGGGTTGTGGTAATTGGCGTATTACTTACTAGTAGAAAATGACATTACTATCCTCGAAAGTGGAGTGAGAGAGTAGTTTGAGAGATAATTAGAGAGTGCGAGTGTCTAATTTGAAAGATGATTTTGTCATTTCATATTTTTAGAAAACAATAGTGCAAGCTTACAAAGAGAAGTATAAAGAGATTTTTACCTAAAAAAAAAGTATACAGAGATATTATTTGCCTTGGAATGTTGTCATCATCCTAGTAAAAAACAGATTTGGAAACATGAAGATTATTACAATATGGTTCATGGTTTGGGTGATGAAGTTGGAAAAAGTTTGCTTCAACGGCAATTCTGTTATTAATGACACAATGAATTCCAACGTCCTAGTGTTGGAGTTGGTAACTGAATTAGAAGATATTATGCGATGTGATAGATCAATATGGACCATCCGATGAAGAAGAACCCGGTGGGCCAAATATGAGCATGATGGGGTTGATCACGGCCGTATAATTCAAATTGTGATTGTCATTATCAGTTGATAGGTACAATTCTGGTGCAGAAATTTGGCGTGGTTCTAGGTTCACATCCATGCACCTGCAGACATTATGGCAAGTAGCCCAGAAATTGAGAATATATATATATATATATATATATATATATATATGTTAATGGGTAATTTAAGAAATATGTATATAATTACGAGAGTCAAATAGGTACGAGTTTAGAAAGAAAACAAGTGACCTGCCATTCATCTGTCCAGTGGGCTACAAAAGCATGCATATGAAGACAATTTTCTAAAAGTTTTATTGGGTTTTTGTTAAGGTACCTTGTCAACTCAGTCCTCACTGCCTAAACTACTTTTTAAAAGAATTTGCTGTTTTTTCTAAAATTTGAATCACTTTTTTTCTCTCTCTTTCTCAGGAAAATTAAAGTTGTAAGGATCGATATAAAACAAGAAAATGAAATGGGCTGTCTGGTGGGGAAGAATGTCTCTGCTGCCACAAATGTATTAGCAACATTCAAATCTGATATTTTGGTCGTACCAAAACTGGTAGATTAAAATACAAGAATACCTTTACTAAAAGTTGATGATTGCTAATAATTTCAAATGCTCTGCTATTTATTTATAGTGAATTCTATTTATCACCTACTGATGTTTACTTTATATACCCGTTATATATAAATACAAAATAATTTGCTATAAAAAAGTAGAACAAATCCAAATATTTTTTTACAAAGAATTCTTTTTAGAGTAAATGACAGTAAAACATATTATTTGAATAGACAATTTCATTCATACCATAGCGTATAACTCTAATTGATGCATATTTTAACCTGCTCATAAATACTGGGCTTGAATTATATACATCAATTATTGAAAGTGGAATTTGAATTATCTAACTAAGCTCATGTGATTGTCAAATTTGGCACAGGATCAAACCATACTTAGAAAAGTTGACCTATCAAAGTCTAGAATATTGAATTGATTCACTAAGTAACTCATGGTCGTAAACTATTTAATAATTTCTTACAAGAGAGGCCTACTTGTTTGCTTTCTTTGTCACTCAAAAAAATAATTTTAAAATATCTCATAAAATATAATTATGTTTTTAAATAATTATAAAAGATAATTAGTTAAAAATATATTTGTTTTGAATTTTGATAAAAAAACTTTTCATAAATTATCAACCAAATAGATTTTTGTGCAATTTTTTCATTTTCAATTATTCGAAAACAGATCAAGGAGGTTCTCAAAAAGCTAAACCCAAACAGATGCTCAATCACCGAAGTTAGCAGGGTTGTCAGTTATTTGTACAACTGGATTTCCAAATCCATATATTAACAAAAATTACCAACACTATGGATCCAAAAGCAGCAAATTCAATCAAATTCAATCATGGAGACATGCTAGCATGATAGGCTCCACCATATATGCTGTCTCTCGCTAAAAACGAGATATATATATATATATATATCTATATATATATATATTACTAAACAAATTAAACCTACTGAGCAAATGTCAATGTTAGTTTCGTCTTCAAAAACATTAATTTTTTTGATTAGCATGGCCTAAATCTTTGAGCTAAGATTCTTGTCTGAGCCGCGAACCTTCTAAACCTTGTGCCACGCCCATTTCACCACTAACAACATAGAGATAATCATAATTTAATACCAGTTGCATTAGGGTTTTATAATAAGTAAGTTAATTTTGATCACAGAATAGCTAGTTTCCGTTGCAATAATGTTCATACTACAAATGATGTCACTCATTTGACATGGTTATGCCAGCTAGATACGTACAAATGATTACAAAATATATTGTAAAATATTTTTCTTGGAAAATATCTTCTTTTTTCAAGTCAAATATATATTTTTATTTTTTGGTACTTGAGAAAGGTTTAAGTCGATATTAAGGTCGAGTTCTTGAGGTAGGACGTAATAAATAACTTGTCGAAAATTTATGAATTAGTTATTTTTATTAGATATTAATTTTTTTTTTAATTCATAAATATTTTAAGATGACTAAACACTATAAAATAAAAAAATATTTGAATGTAAAATATTATTTGATTGTAGCCTTTGTAGGGTTGTTTAGGGTAAACGAGGAAATTCTATAGCCCTGAAAATAAGATTAATTGCGGGGACCGGAATTTCTTGCTCTCTTTTACTCCCAATAGAAAAAAAGCCATCTTAAAAGTCTTTTGGAAGGTACAAATCTCAAGAATAAAGTTTAATTTATATTTAAGCTTAATTGTTATGTATTGGAAATGATCACCTGTAGAAACTTCATTTGTTCACAGTGAATCAACAATGGTTGATTAATCAGAATGTACGATCAAATTTATTGTGAAATGTGATACACCATTAGCGGCACTAATCAAGATGTATAATTAACAAATCACAAATTTTTGGATGCACTAATAGGTTATTAGGCTTTGATGGGATAGTCAACTTAGGCCTTGTTGGGATGGAGAGAAAAAGAAAGAACAGTTTTAGTTATGAAAGAAGAAGAAGAAGAAGAAGAAGAAGAAGAAACAACAATAATCTCTATTTATATTTAGATAGATAAAAGAAAATAGAAAAGAAATGATAGTATTTTTATTTGTATACAATAAATTGAAAAAAGGAAAGAAAGGATAACAAATAAATTACTATCATATCCTTTTAAATAAAGATATGAGTGGAATAATAATTTTCTCTTTTTAATTGTTATTGAGATAGTTTCGAAATTATGAAAATACTACTTAAATACTATTATTTCTTTCCATATGTTCTCATTTTTGGAGAGATAGGAAATGACGGATAAGGAGGGTATTCTTTCTTTTCTCTCATTTTAAAACACCCAGACACAGCCATATATTTTCTTCTTCTTTTTTCTTTCCCTATCCCTTCAAATCATCCCATCCAAACGCACTCTTACTTAATTTTGGATTTGCTATTATATCATTAATAGTTGAAAATTTTCATTTGTCTCACAAACCAACCAACCTATAGCCCTTTACTCTGCAGGCTTTAGTTTGTTAAAACTTCGTAGGAAACAAATTACAGTTTCTTATGCAGTTGGTCTTGGTTGGATCATTATTGAGATAATCACCCATTTATGAATTCTTCATTTTCCCAGAAAATTAATTTCCCTGAAAACAAACGTGACTAAGCTGTTTAGAAGTTGGTGCCTTGCCCATTTTGATAATGTTTGTGTGGGTTTTCCTTTAGTTTCAAAAATAACAAAAAAAAAAAAAGAATCATTAGGCCATTTACACTGTGAGCACGTTTTTCCATCATTGAAGTGAGATTTATTTCAATTCAACGTCTAATAGAGCACTGAGACAATCTCATAAATGATTCCGTAATCTATCACACTTCATAGCTCATACATGAAGCACTTTGAGTGAAAATTATATTTGTCACAACATGTTACATTCGCATTCTCTTGTGAAGCTCACTATGAGTGATGATGGGTCACAAGACTTACAACTGTTTTTCATGGAGGAGACAAGTTATTTAAGTGACATTCATGGCATTATATTGATATTTGATCATATCATATAAACAAGGGCATTTGGGTTGTTGACTAGTGGGTTCATGGGTTAGAAACTTAGGTGGATTAGGGTTGGGCTTTCTTGTTGCTTTACCAATAAACGAAGCCCAAAATGGTCATGGTCTTGGAACTGGTGAGACAGTGACTTGAATCATATTCTGATTTACTTACAAACTAATAATTATCATGAAATCTATCAAACAGATTCTCCTCAGAGTGCTAGAGTTTAATTTTGTCAGGCTTTTTGTACTATTTTTTCATTAAATGATGTTTGTAACCCGCACCAACATTCAGCCCATGGGCCATCACGGCGTTTATAGATGTTGAGCCCACACTTTGTCAGAGTTTGATTCAGTCACGGATTTGATCCAATCTCATTTTTCATAAATGGGGTGATCGATGGAGGAGTTACTATTATATTTATCGGTACAAAAAAGTCTAAATTGGCCTCTCCTATAGTTAGTTCTATGAAACAGATTAGGGCTGCAACAAATGCAAATCACATTGCCTAATTGGCATACCAGATTAGTATGCATTACGCTTTATTGAGCCCATACCCATTGAAGTTTCGAAATCCAATACTTGCCCCTTTTTCTTTTTGAATTTGGATCCTCTCCTCCAGCATCTTGCTCATGTATCCCCGAGCTAGATCCAAAAAATATAAAAAGGCAATATCATCTAGTAAATCACTTTCTAACATTACATTGTTTTGGTTTAGAACAAAACTGTAACTACCGTGAGGCGTGTGTAAAACAAATAATATTTACATAAATTGATTGAGCAGGGTGTGACAAATGATATCAGAGTCAATTCCTAGTCGAAAAATAAAA